GAAACATCCTCACAGTGGATTTCCATTTTTTTTTTTTTTTTAATTTAATCTTAACAGAAAAAATCATTAATTTTAACAATTTGTATGTATATGTATATGCATGGTTAAGTACAAAAATTACAACTAGAAATTAAATGGAAATAGAACAAGAATTAAACCATAAATAGTTAGATAACTTATTTAAGAAGAGATTAAATAACCATTGGCCACTAGCTAACTATGTAGAGATTGAGTTGGAAGCTAGCTACGCCACCATTGAGTTGCTATACAAAGTCTTTAAAAATCCTCCAACCCATCGATTGTGTCAATCATTCATGTCGATAGCCACTTACTAACTGTTCCATATATATATATATATATATCGTTCCATGTGTGTATATATATGCTCATTCAAGGCAACAACAATATTCTTCTAGTTAGTAATTTGTAACTCTGTTCAGCTCGTAATAAGGCATAGCTATAGCGATAATTCCAACTTAACTCTATAACTTCCCTCTTAATTCCGAGTAAAATACATATTATATGTATATATGCATGTATTTATGTATGTATTTCCCATATCTAAAGACGAGCACATATGCACTTATGTTGTGCGATCCAAATGCCTCCTAACGAGTGTGAGCAGAGAATCTGCTCAAACACTTTTTTGAATTTTTTTTACCATTTATGTATATATGTGGAGAAAAATATATATGAAACAAATCAGTTAATTTAAGAATGATTTTCGACATGGGTTGAGGTAATTTTTTCATGTGACATGATGGCAGCTTAAAGCATGCCTGTATCGACTGAGATATTCTTGTAATATTGTAGGAGTTAAATACTGCAATTTGGTCATATATATACATACATACATATAATATATATATATATAAACTTAACTACGCACGCAATAACAAGAAAGGAAAATAAATTAATAGATAAAAGTCTTAGATAATAATAAAAAAAGTAAGAATAGTTTAGCAAACACATGCTTCAGCCAAATTTCATTTAGCAAGGTCAACCTCCCTAGATGATTACTTTCTCTATATATGTAAATACATATGTATGCATATATATAATTAATTTCATTTGAAGTTCGACGATCATTAGTTGCTTTGTCTCTCTCAATTTTTGGGTACAGGAGAATTATCATATATATTCATATTCAATTCTCTTATTCTTATAATTAAGACAATATAATCTTCGCATCACATGGTTCACTACTCATTGGCCTCGTTCAATCTAAACTATCTTCCATGGGATCGTCATATATATATTTTATATACAAGCACCATTCAAATGATCTATATGTATATATATCCAGATATATATAAATGAAGTCAATGGTTTCTTGATTTTATTTTATGAACAAGACAATAAAATAACCAAAAGATAAACCATCTTCTTGTTGTATTGTTTAATCATCTTTCTTTGAGCACTAACTAATTTGAAAATGTCATGAATAGTGCCGCGTAATGACAGGCTTTTGATGACAGTGAGATGAAAATAATCACCAGTATAAATTTGGCTTCTTTTCCATTAGAATTTCACTTGCAGAGGTTGAAGTTTTGTAGACATAAACATATATCACAGAAGAGAAAACATACATGGCTAGTTCAAAGCTTGTAATTCTGTCATGTTTGTTTCTCTCAATATGTACTATCGCCTTTATCCCTGCAAATGCAGCGGGACTGAAAGTAGGGTTTTACATAGAGACATGTCCAAAAGCCGAGTTCATTGTCAAGAAGGTAGTTAATGAGGTCATGGCCAAGGCCCCTTCGCTAGGCGGCCCTCTCTTGAGGATTCATTTCCACGATTGTTTTGTTAGAGTAAGTTCATATTTCTCTTACAACCCAAATGCATGCTATCATTTTATCTCATCTTTCATCATGTGTGTATGTATATATATATGTATGACTGGACATGTATATATATTTAAACAGGGATGTGATGCGTCAGTATTGTTGGATTCCCCAACAAAGCAAGCTGAAAAGGATGCCGTTCCAAATTTAAGACTCAGAGGATTCCAAATCATTGATAAAGTCAAAGCAGCCTTGGAAAAGGAGTGTCCCGGCATTGTATCGTGCGCTGATATTGTTGCTTTAGTAGCTAGAGACGTCGTTGTTGCTGTATGTATATATATATACACATTGAAATATAACATACATCTTTTTGTAAATTAGTGTTACATTAATCATCTCAATATGTATATCTATATATATATATATATATACACACTTAATTAAGCTATATATGGCTTATACTTGTCTCAGTCAAGAGGACCATCTTGGGACGTGGAAACAGGAAGGAGAGATGGAAAGGTTTCCAGGTCTTTGGAGGCCTTGCAAAACCTACCGCCACCTTTCTTCAACATTACTCAATTGATTACTTCTTTTACAGGAAAGGGTCTTAGCGTCAAGGATCTTGTTGTTCTATCAGGTACTGATTAAGCTTCTTGTTCCATCTTTGCAGCTTTGTGTATATATATAGACATATGTACATTTATATTACTTACAGAAGTTTTATTATTCATGTATATTTACACATATACGGACAATGATTAGTTCAATTTATGTCAGTAGTGCTCTAAGAGTTCAATTCCAAATGCATTGATAGAATTTGGCTTTTAAAATTATTTGGTGAAACACATACAATTAACTCAAGATTAAATTGAAATTTAGGAGGGCATACGATTGGGATCGCATTTTGCCCATCATTCAGCAATCGTCTTTACAACTTCACTGGAAAAGGAGACAGTGACCCCACAATGGATCCAAATTACATAGCAAAGTTAAAGGACAAATGTAAGCCAGGAGACCAGAAGACATTTGTAGAGATGGACCCAGGCAGCTTTAAGACCTTTGACGATCATTACTACAGTCTTGTCATCAAAAGAAGAGGTCTCCTTGAGTCTGATGCAGCTCTACTTAACAACAAGGAGACTAGAGATTATGTCAAGCTTCAAGCCACCAGCCATGGCTCCACTTTCTTCAAGGACTTTGGTGTGTCCATGGTAAAGATGGGAAGGATTGGGGTGATCACAGGCAAGGCTGGTGAGATCAGAAAAGTTTGCAGTAAGGTTAATTAAAAACAGAAAAAATATTAATTCATTGTCATGATTTGTATTATATTCATTTGATTTCTTTTTCTCTTTGGTTAATAAGTTGGGATTGTAATGGTTGGGAAGTGCATGTAGTTAAGATATGTAAGTTTACGAGCAGACACTATGTATGGTTCTTTGTATTTATGCACATGTATATTGCATGTGTTATAATTAACGAGTTCCTTATTGTTTAGTTTCTTAAATAAAATTAAAGAGAACTTAGTTCGATGCAAATATTAATTAAGCTCGTATCAAAATTAACATATGTATATGTGCGTGTGTGTGTATATGTGTGTGTGTGTGTAGACATGCCTTTTGTATACAACAGCCATCGTTTTTCCCTTAGCAAATATCAAACCCAGGATCAATTATTTATTTCTGAACCAATTTATTTAATTAATGAAACAGTGGATTTTCATAATCTTTCTATATATGTTATACACATGTATAGATATAATGCATATATTAGACTGCGACTGCATATATATGTATGTATGTATGTATATATTCCAATATCATAATTGGTTTTGTCAGTCAGCCATTTATTTGAGACTTTTGTCACATTTGCATGACATATATTTTTTGTTGGGCTGTATTAAATGAGAGTTTTTACGGGATTTTGCTTAAGATAAGTCATGGTTGGATGGTGGATTCTGCACAATCTTGTCAATAAGTGAAATTTGTACGTTTCCCACTCGGGCCCTTTTCTTCAAGTTTAGAGAAAGTGTCATTCCAAATTCATGCATCTGAAACTCTGTATATGACAATCAATTTCTACCCAAAGAAAAAGAAATCATTTATATATATATATATATATATATATGCAACTTCACAATACGTTTAGAATTATAGATTGGCATATATAGTCAAACTCTGCACCAACGAAAAGAAAGGCTTTAAAGAAATGACGGGTTCCACACAATCTTAACGAATTGGGATTTCGAAGCTAATACTTATTATAACTTGGAAGGCAGTAATATCCCAAGATAATACTTGACATAAAGATGAAATCAATTACTGTGGATAAATCATTCTCTCCAACCTAGATTAGTTTTACGATATGAATGTATGCATGCATGCATGCATACACAGCAGGAAAATTATAAAAAAGTAAAATCTATCCATCCATGAGTTCGATTAAACCCACATTCTTGTTGCTATATAAAGTGGTGAAATATGGGTGTAATATTATATTATATATATATATATATGTGTGTGTGTGTGTGTGTGTGTGTGTGTAGGCATGTGGTTTGGCTTGTGAAAATGAACATGATTGATTAAATAAATTTAGGATTTAGTAGTGGAAAATACATGAAGAGGACGAGGAATTAAAGAAAGGAAACGCCTGTCACTACTTTGCCTCCTTGCTAATTTTCTTCCTCATCCAGCTAGCACTGACTAACTAATTAATTTACCCCATAATTACTCTCTCTCTCTCTCTCTCTCTCTCTCTCTCTCTGTATATATATATATACATACACACAGAGACATAATTGTATCTACAGCGTATTTTTATATAGACATTATTGTTAGGTCTAGCTCATAATCTGTCTAGGAATATCGAAAATATACACACACATATGTACATATACATATACACTCGTAATTAATCAAAAAACTGTGGACCTCTTCCCACGGCATATACATATATGTACATCCCATCTTTTCTTGTTTTATATGTATACATACATAGATACACAATTGTTGTCTGTTGTTATTACATTGTTACACGTCCCTCCGTTTCAATTATTTTATTTATTTATATATAGAATTTATAATTTTTTGTTTTCGCCGGTAGGCCTTTTGCAGAACAAATTAAGAGGAGGAGAACATATTATGCAGCTAAACGGACGGTAATTATCTTGATTGATTGAATTATAATTAATTTTTGAAAAAAAAAACAAGTTTAATTCATCTTTATAAATACTATTGGAGCCCTTCAGTTTTCGATTTCTGGGAGCCTTCGCACAACCATTCAATCATCTCATTCTCTTCTTCCCCAAAAGAAACAAAAAAAAAAATCCCACTTCCCTCTGCTTTTGCTTTTCTTCAAACAAGAAACAGAGCCACTTCTTTCTTTACTTTAAGCTACACTTCACCTAAATTCTTTTATTTCTTTTCAGTTTTTTTTCAGATTTTGGTGAGAAATCGACTTTGACCCATCTCTCTGCAACTGTTTAATTTTTTGCCTTAATTTGAAAAAAACTGATGGGAGTAGTTAAAGAAGAAGAAGAAGAAGGTCTTATCTTAACCCGTTGTTTGTTTCTTTTAAGTCACGAAATTTGTTTGATTCTCAAATAATTTTGTATCGGTATTAAATCATCAAGTTTTGACTAATTGGGTTTTCTTTTTTCATCATTCTCAATCAGATATTAAGTAGCGATTAGCCTCAGTTGATACGCAACTGGTTAACGCGTGTAAGGTTCTCGCTTCCCCGTTCCCCCATTTTCCTTCTTTATCTTCCTTGAAAGTGATGGAAATGACGGAGAATCCCAAGTTGGTGAGCATAAGCTTTCTGGGTTTCCCTCCAATGCGTAAAATACTTATTTACCTAATTCCTTAACTGTTCTATTGGACTTTGCGGTTATGCATATACATATTTATATTGTTTCTTCAACCAAATAACTGCTTCTCTCTCTCTCTCTTCTTCTGGTTGTTGGATTGTTGATTTGCTATTAGGAGATGGCGTCGTCTTGCGAGGTCTATGGATTAGAAGAGAAGATGAGTACCCAGAGAATATCAGTATCGGATCATGTAAACGGATTTCAGTACGAGGCCGAGGAATCTGATAGCTTTGTTATTGACATGGAGAGCTTCTCTCATGGCGGCAATAAGGAAATTACTGCAAATTCAAGAATCACAGTAAGTTCTCTTCCCTTTTTTTGAAACAAAATCTGATTTTGCTTCCTATTTTTCTGCCCATTAATTGCTTTTTTTAGTTTTTTTTTTTTTTTTCTTGAAATTATTACGTTCTTGACACCACCAAGTCACCGCCTCCTGCCCATTATAATGGCCGATTCTTTTCTTTTCTTTTCTTTTTTCTATGATAGAATTTTTATGAGAAAACCACAAATTTTCTACCAAAGTTCTATTAATGTTTTTTATTCTTTCTTTCAATGACAAATTTACTGGATGGAAAAAAAAAAAAAAAAAAAAAAGCTGCCAAGAAGTTTTTCCAGGAAAGGCTCCTTAAGAGGGAGTGACAAGAAAGTAAATTCCAACGACAGAGAGTCCGGTCTTGCTAGCTCCTTCCCCAGAGGTATTCAACTTTTTTTTGGTTTTAAACTCCATTTTTATATACTTTTTACAGCTAAAATTATTATACATTTTCCAAGTTCTAATTGAGATGATTGTTATTTATCACTTTGTTTACTAAATTGATGATTAGAGTTATGACAATTACAAAGAAATTGAAAGCAAGTTGCCAAAAGTGAAACAAGTTAAGTTAAGTCTATTTGGGTTGGGTTTTCTTTTCCTTTTTCGATGAAAAGTTAAATCTGGGGAAATTTATTTTATTATATGTTCTATGGCCTACCAGAAAAATTAGCAAGTTCCTTTAAATTTGATGGTTCATTTTGTTTGACCCTTATGAGCCATTGGTCCCTGTTTTGAGAGATATTTGGTGCATGCGCATAACAGTTGGTCTCACTACCAAACAAAGGCAGGAATAAAATTAATAAAATTGGCCATACTTGTTGCTGGCCTCATGCGTAGTACCCATTTGATAAAAGCTCTACCCTCAAAAAAAGGCTATAGATGTCATCCATCACCAACCTGTAAGACTCATACTCTCATTAATTCATGACAATTTCCTAGGTTTTTCACATTATGGACTGTCATAATGTGATGTTTATTTTTTATCTTTGGAACACACATGGAGCAGTTAAAATGTTCGGTGGGTTTTGACTTTTATAATTATCAAAATATTTACCCTGTAACTCTCTTCCAACTAGTATATATTTAGTAAAGTTTCCAGCGTAGGGGACAGCTTTCCTACTATTAAAGCAAATGCCAGTTTGTAGTATAGATTCAGGATTCTATCATGTTGATAGTAGATTGTGAACAACTTTTTTTGCGAGTTAAGAAAACACTCTTGTCTTGATATCTGAAGATTAGTTTGAGCATCATTTGACCGTATAAACCTAAAAGAAAAAACAGGTGTTTAGTGTGCTGGATAAACATTTTCTATTCGAATTCCTCTTAAAAAATTTCAACTATAGCTTCTTTAGTCAACTAGATAAGTTTTATTGTGGGATATAAACAAGGATTCCTATTCATAATAAATGATAAAATCTGAGTATTGGTAGTTGAACAATGATAATCTTGCTTAATTTGATTTGAAACCAACAGCCATGCTCCGTTTGTTTAGATAGCATTAACTAGTCTTTATCAATTGATAAACAAAAAGGGAATAGAAAGGGAGATGACACCAAAAGCTTGGGTCAAGGTTTTGGAATATGATGTTTTACCGAAATTGCTTGAGAGACATAAATGTGTTTTAATTAAAAGAATCATACAGGTATCATTCTTTTTGTTGGTTGCCTTTTTGGTAAGAGCTAAGCATGTGCAGTTGCATTATTGGAAAATTTTAGAAATGAATGCCGAACTCTTTGTTTAGCAGACAGAAAATATTATATATTTGGCACTGAATTATTAAACCTTAAATTGATCAAGTAGGGACTAGCATGCCTGAAAAGGCAGCGTCTATGGTGGCTATAGGGACCACAGATCATGCCAGCAACCCACAGGTTCATCATCAGATCACCATCACCACCGCCAACATCAACGGTACAACTGAAAACAAATTCACCTTGAGAAAGAACAGCTTCAAACGCTCTTCGTCTTCTTGGGCTGTTGATCCTAAGAAAGTTCTCTTGTTCTTCGCGACTTTGTAAGTTACAACAGAACTCTTTGCATTATCTTCCTATCTTTTTGGTTATTTAACTTGATATTTTTTAAGTGGACCACTAAAATAGCATGAACCAACCAACTCAATCATGGCCTCGGTCTAATGCAATAATATGATCTCAAAATTTACACTTCAGAAAAGGAAAAAGATCATCTCAAATATTTGCTATAAATGAAATCATCTTGAAAGCAGTCAAAACTGTTGTAAGTCCCTGTTAACTAAAATTAAGCTAAAAGCCAACAACATATAAATCATTGTGACTTGAGTTCACCTTGGTATTAACCCAAGTCACCATGGGGTAAAATCTTAGATAAGATTATGTTTTGCAAGAAATCAAACGATAAGCAGGAAGCATAAACCAATGTGATCTGAGTATTCTCTTTCATGTCTTTGACAGGTCAAGCATTGGAACAATGTTGCTGATATTCTTCACACTATCAATTAGCAAGCTAAATGCAGATGAAACAGCTCTTAATTGAAGAAATCCTAACAGGCACTGACATCTTTTCCTTTCAAGTGGACCTACAGTAGACAACACTTGGGTGTATAGAATAAGAGACACATAAAAATATGGATGTAACTGGCTGATTGTGGGGGACCCTTTTTTTGTAAAGATTATCTTCTTCTGTTGAGAGGTTATGCAGCTAAAAAAAATTTAAAAAAAAAAAAAAAAAAAAAAAAACTAAAATGGTCGGCAAAAGCTAACCAGCCTTCCATTGCTGTGGATAATCAGCAGTTCTCTACTTTTTCGGGGCTACTTTTCTAAAAAAAATACACATGTAAAGACAAGGACATGCTGCATTATGACAAAAAGAAGGAATCTCCCCTTTTTCTTGGTGGATCTGTCTCATTCTCCATACCTTCTGCCCTGTTCCCTACTTTGGGCGAATCAAACATTGAGTGGATCTTTTATCTGTCTCGGTGGCTGTCATGTGCACGAGCAAGGGAAGAAGAAACATGAGATTTGTGAGCAGTAAAGTATTGTTAATGAAACCAAGCATGCGCTAACTTTTTGCACTAGATGGAAACACGAGTATGTTAGGAAATACAGGATAGATATAATGTTTGTGATAGTCAATGTAATGCAAGCATGAACTGAAAGTCAACGATGTTCTTTCGAGCTATTCGGAACACAATATGATTCATCAAACATGTTAAATAATTGAGTTGTAGAAGCACAAGTCTGTTATATTGAAAGCATTGGCCAAGTACATATATTGAAATCTACTTGACAAAAATTAAGCAACAACCAGATTTAATTCTAGACGTCTAATTTTGATGTCATTGAATAATAGAGTCCAAGTGATATTTACATTGCACTTAAAAAAGATAATAGAATGGAATTAATTTTTTTCAAAGACTTAAGAGTTGATAAAATGAAACAACCATTCCATGAAAGAAGAATAACAATACAACACAAATTAGATAGAAAATTTGATTATCAACAAAATTCTAATTATATATTTCAGAGCATGAATAAACTAATATCTCTATACATTTCCCAGAACTGAGATAATGATTCTGCAACCACATCACATATGAAATTGTTGCTATCATAATAAACAATGAAATCCACCAAACCATTTCACTCTCAAATAAGTTAAAAGCAGCAAGTTAAAGGTACTCACCAACTGCTCTGACCCGTTAAATGAAAGTGATCTTGGACCACCCTTTTCAAAGCATGTACAAGTTTTAACACCTCCCAAAACATCAATACTATAATGGAGCACGAAGAACTTAAGCTTGTTGTGACTCCAAGGAATCGCAATGACATCCATACTACAGAAAGCTGGAATCTTTGAGTTCAACATCACAAAGGTGGCAAGGTTGGTAGGATGCCTACCGAGTATACTCACTTCCTCCCTTGCCTTCTCACCACCTAACATGTAATTCATAATACAGTGCATCAGGAGGATCAAAACCTGCAAATTAACAGGCTTCGAACGCACTGATTCTTTCAACAACATCAACATGTCCCATGGTTATGAAGAACTGACAGATTGACCATGACAAATAACCAAAGCAGCCATAAGTTCTCACTAATCATTCATCAGGTGAAACTGCTAGAAGTAATCAGTTCATAGTGTACTTAAAATTGATGACTTACATTTCATTCATTGCTTTATTCTATAGCATGGTCAATAAGGCTTCATTGTTTTCCCAGTTCCTAATTACATTTTCCTAAAATTTTGATTCTACTATGGATCGCTACTATCTATAACCAACATGTACTTCTTCCGAGCTTGAGAACAAGAGCAAAACCATTTCTAGTAGTGTTTTGAAATATGCGGCATTGTGCTCTTCTGTTTCCGATCATGATAAAGCTTTAATACAATTGCTGCAGTTTTTTCAATAGCCTTACCAGTCATTTCTACAATCACAAAAAAGACAAAGATTTTTATCAGATATATATGTCATTATTATAGAAGCAAGAGATGATTAAATTAAATGATCTTACCAATCACAGGCCAACTGGGATTCTGTGCAAATATCCTGCCTGCAAATTCCAACTCCTGTCTGACATAATCCAAGTCCGAGTAGTTAATTCTTGATTCAGCGTCCAAACCCATCGTTTTAGCTCTTGTTTTCCTTATTGTTTGCAGAACCAGAGGATTGATTGTCAGACAAAAAACCTTTGATGAGTTCACGTCAAAAAGAGCCTTTGGCAATTCAACATCCATAACAATCGGCACATTAGCAACCTTGTATCCTTTCTGAGCAATATAAGTTGACAACGGTGTCTTCCCAGTACGAGAAACACCTACAAGAACAATGTCAGCCTTATGCAAATTCTGAGGCAGTGCTCCATCGTCTTGCTTGATGGTAAATTCAATTGCTTCAATCCTTCGAAAGTATTCATCATTAAGAGAGCTCCTTCCAGGAGCTCCACGGGGAAGACCAGATGGTGAAACGCCTAAATGAGAAGAGAGTGCATCCGTAATTGGTCCCAGAATATCAGTGCTCTGCACCCCCCATAACTTGCAGGCTTGTTTGGCAGAGTTGGCCATGGAAGGATCGGCTAAGGTGTAAACAAGCATTGCATCTTCCTTGGCTGCTTGCTTTACTATTTCCATCAACTGGTCACCATCATCAACCTGAAGAAATTGTGGGCGTTCACAATATAATTAACACAATAAGGTGACTAAAATCATTAAAAGATCCGCCAATTTCAAGTATCAGAACTTAGGCATTCAAGATAATGACTTCATTTAGAAACAACAGATAATTGAAAAATACAACAGTTCATTTAGAGACTTCCATTAATAAAATTGCAGAAGTTTTGTTGTTCTCAAGTCCGTAAAACTTGCAAGAAAGTAAAAAAGACAAGCACTTTGTGAGTAGAAAGACAATCTTACCCCTGAGAAAAGGTGGGTATTTATGGAACACCCGCGATCCACCAAGCAATGCTCGAACTGTCCCATGGCGCAATTAACCGCGTGTTCCGCCGTCCATCCAGTTCCGTCAGACACCATGTATATCGACTTCCCCGCCGTCAAATCGACCTCATCATCGCTGCTACTCTCTGTATGCGACCTCGCAGGAGAGGAATCCTTCTGCTCCAGTTGCTGGACCGGAGGGGACAGGTCGACCTGACGGATGCCAGGGGCCGGGCGATCGAGCTTCCGACCGGAGCGTATGAAGCGGGCCCTGGACCAGCGGTTCAACTGCGCGCTGCCCCTAAACTTCCAAGACGGAGTCTCTGAGGTGGTTTGGGTTGGGGAAACGGAGACATCAGTGTTTGGAGGGTTGGGCTTAGGGTCGGAACTGCAACTGTTGGAGATGGATGTGGGACGGACGTTGGGGATGGTCAAGGTAGAAGAAGATATCATCTTCACTTATTATTATTAATTAAGAAGATTACGGTGTAGATGGTGTGAAAGATTGGAGGATATTATTTTTATAAGTGGTGGTATATAAATGGTTTAAGAAAAGATATCAACTTTGGATTTTTTTTTTTCAAAGATTTTTTTATCATCTATACAAATATCTTACCACATGAATAATAAAATGTCATAATCAGAACTGATGCGGGAGGAAATGGAGCTTCTTCTTCTATACTTTGCAGGTGTCTTGGCAGTGGTTGGTAGAGGATGATTTGGTCAAATTTTCTTACACTTGGTTTACAAATTGGTGTTACAATTTAGAGACACTGAAGTCTTGAAAAGAATCAACAAAGGCCTAATAGAAATTTGTTTATACAATGAAATATATTGAGTCTCAAGCCATATTATTATCTAATTTTTTTTCTTTTTTTACACTCGAACTGGTAACCACGCATATAACATAACAGATTGGATGGCTAATTGTTTCAAGTTCTTGGTAACATAATATGCTAACAAGAACAAGTGAGATTCATAATCTAAAATTTGAAAAGAACTATCAATGATTCTAAAATAAAACGAACTCTACTCTTATGTCAAAATTCGAAAACGACAAATTATTCACTTCTTCGTATAGAGATCACAAGCCTATCCACTCTCATTCCAAAAGAATTAACGTTTGAAACAAAGATACCGACCTTATAGGTGAGACCGAACCCATATGGATACACTTGCTATTTGGGAAGGACTCTCTGCAGCAAAGCACACTGCACAAACAAAAGAAACCAAAAGGCACGATAAAAAAGATCAGAAGGAGCTAATAAACCTTCCTTTATTGTTGATACTCAGCCAATCTCGACCTTTTCCAGGCTCCTTTACTATAAAATGTTACAGATAAAGAGAAGGGCACATTACATTGCTACAAAGAGAAGGAAACTTCCTTTTTCTTGGTGGATCTGTTTCCTTCTCAATGCCTTCTTCTCTGTTTTCTCCTCAGGCAAATCAAACTTTGTGTACATATTTTCAGGTGGTGATCTGTCATATGAGTGAGCAAGGAAGAACATGCACAAGATTTGCAAGCAACAAAGTATTCTTAATGCATGCGAGCAATAAAAGTTTTGAACTTTTTGAACAACCCTGAAAAGCATTAGCACTACGGAGGATTAACATTTGTCTAAAGAATTAAAACTGCATTTGATATATGAAACATCTTTTAGTTTTTATTTTCTAAATCTATATGTATTTTATCCACAAAATCATGTAGATTACTTAACAATCAGTTACGTTTATTCAGTGTTTTCCAAAAAACTATTTTCCTTGTGTTTAAATTATTTTACAAACATGTAACTCTTATATACCTTCATAAATAAATGCGTGGATAAATACAATAATATACAAGTTTCTAGGACAGATGTAATGCAAGCATGAGCTCAAGATGGTGATTTCTTTTATATATTCCCAGAATAAGACATGGTTTCTGGATCATGTCCAATATGCCATACGAATGAGGAAGAATAAAGAAAACATGCACGCGCATACACACACATATATATGTATCTATATCAGGGCATTAGAATGATGAGCAAATCAACCAAATAACAATCCAACTAGACTGATATCAAAGTTACCTGTGGTTCACAATGCCAACTACACAAAAAAAGGATAAGAATACGGTATAAAATGAGAAGAAGCTGGAATAAGAATAGTAGTTTAATTCTTTTTTTTTTTTTTCAAATTAGATAAATTTCTGTGATTCATGCTGAGTAGGACTTAGAAACCAGACTACTAAGAAATGAAAAGAGCATGATTGGTTCAAATATATAAATTGAACCAAACCGATTATAAAAGTAATAACCAGAATGGAGACTTCGACTACATCTTATTCTCAATTCATGCCTTATTGTGCTTCACAAGCCTTACCAGTAGCTTTGAATTAAAATGATCTTGTTCCTTAGAAAACAAGAATAGGATCTTCCACCATCTTGTTTCAGGTTGTGATTACTACACTGAAAGGATTCACGAGTTCTATTATCCTTCCAAAATGCTTATTCAAGAAAAAGTCTGAAAATTTATGGTTTCAAGGCTACATTTGGATCAAATTCTCTTTTTGGAATTCATTTGAAATTTCTGTTTATTTTAACTAAGTCGAATTGGAAAACAATACCATCACTAGTGACTTTAAACAAATGGGAAAAAAGAAAAGGAAATTCCCCAACCGTCTTCACTCAAAATTAGCGGCAGTAACGGAAAAGTACTCAGTCACAGCATTGACTACTAAACTGAAAGTGATCTTCAACCACCTTCTTTAAAGGGTTTACAGGTATCTCCCAAAATTCATAGACACAGAGAAAGTCAAATTGGCCTTCTTCAACAAGTGAATATGTCTGGTATATAGAACACAAGAACCTAATAACACTGCAAGTGTTTTTGGTAGAAACGATGGATAGGTCAAATTTAAACCATTTCCTGCAAACAAATTATGACCCTGGGTCTGTTGAGACTCCATTGAATCACAAGGACGTCCACAGGACTGCAAGTTGGAATTTTGGGTTTCAATCTCACCAAGGCAGGAAGGAAGAAAACCAAGCTACTCCTCACCCCTGCGCTCTCTCCCCCACCCTCTGACTGTATGGAAGAAATAACCAAAAAGAGTACCAGAAGGATCAACCACTGAAAAAAAGAGATCAAGCTAATGCACAACGATTTTTTCATAACATCAAAATGGGCCAGGACGTTGATGCTAGAAAGAACTTATTAATCATCACAGATAATATAAGGAAGATAAATTTCGAAGTCTAACTAACCACTCATCAAGTGAAACTGCTAGAAGCAATACTTTAACAAGCATATTATATATTCAAAATTGATAGCTACAACTTCATTCATCAATTTATGTTATAGCAAAGCAGGGTGGAAACATTAACATGTGGGTAACAAGCTCAATGCAAAAGTAAAAATAAATAAAATAAACTAAAATAAACCATTTCTAATAAATCTTACATTTTCCTAGAATTCTAAAACTGATGCGGCTCACCATTATCTATAGCCAGCATCTACTTCTTTCAAGCTTGAGAAGAAGAGAGAAACATTTCTAGTAGCGTCTTAAGATACGTGGCATTGAGCACTTATGCTTTCGGTCATGGTAAAGCTTTAATACAACTGCTGCAGTTTCTTCAATTGCTTTAGTAGTCACCTCTACAACCACAAAAAGGATCAAGATTCCTAGACTGTAAATCATCCATACCTTATAGCATTCGATGTAAATTTATGTTACTACTTTTCTTTTCTGAATTAAAGGGGAAAAAAATATAGATTTACATATTGGAGGACAAAGAAAGTTGAGATGACGTAGAAGCAAGAGAAGGTTAAATAAATGATTTACCAATCACAGGCCAAGTAGGATTTTGAGCAAATATCTTCCCGGCAAACTCCAACTCCTTTTTTACGTAATCAAACTCTGAGTAGTTGATCTTTGCTTCCATTCCAAAACCCAGGGTTTTGGCTCTTGTTTTTCTTATTGTTTGCAGAGTCATGGGATTTATGGTCAAACCAAAAACCTTTGCTGGGTTCACCTCAAAAAGAGTCTTTGGTAATTCTACATCCATTACAATCGGCACATTTGCAACCTTGTATCCTTTCTGTGCTATGTATGTTGATAGTGGCGTTTTTCCAGTACGCGAAACACCCACAAGGACAATGTCAGCCTTGTGCAAATTCTGAGGCAGGGCTCCATCATCTTGCTTGATGGTAAATTCAATTGCTTCTATCCTTCTAAAGTACTCCTCATTAAGAGGGCTCCTCCCTAGAGCTCCACGGGGAAGACCAGATGGAGAAACCCCTAAATGAGAAGCAATTGCATCAGTGATTGGTCCCAGTATATCTGTGGATGGGATACCCCATAACCTACAGGCTTGTTTGGCAGACTCGGCCATGGAAGGATCAGCTAAGGTGTAAACAAGCATTCCACCTTCCTTGGCTGCTTGCTTTACTATTTCTATCAACTGCTGCTCATCGTCAATCTGACAAGATAGCAGCATTACCGCGTAATTAACACAAAGAAAGATTAATATCGAAACTTCCACTAATTATATAACTGGTTCTTTCCTTCATATATAAAAGCATTGTGAAACAATAAAGATTATCCCAAAAGTTCCAATTCCCGATAACATAGGCAACAGTAATATAAACACCGAATCTAATCTTAAGAGACCCTTGAATCTAGCACAGATTTAGCACATGTGAAGAGTCAGACAACCTTACCCCAGAAAAAAGATGAGTATTCACGGAACACCCGCGATTTACCAAGCAATGTTCGAACTGCCCCAACGCAGCATTAACGGAGTGCTCGGCCGTCCATCCAGTTCCATCAGATACCATGTATATCGCCTTCCCCGCCGTCAAGTCCATCTCATCGTCGCTGCCACTGTCAGTAAGAGACCTATCGGGAAAAGAATCGCTTTCGTCCTCCTGCTCGACCAGGGAGGATGATTCGAGCCGACGAACGCGTTGGTTGGGTTGGTCGAGCTTTCGGCCGGAGCGTATAGAGCGGGCCCTTGACCAACGGTTGAGCTGGGCGCTGCCCTTAAACTTGCGAGGCTGCAGTTCTGAGGCAGTTTGGGAAGTAGAAAAGTGGAGACAGCGTCCTTATTGTCGGCAGTGTTGGGACGAAGTTGAGATGCCGAAGTGGCAGTAGAAATCATTATCAGTCGGTGTTTTTTCGATTAAAAGAAATAAGAATTTGATGGCGAAAGAAAGTTCGAGATGAGTATTATTATAAACAATAACTAACATATGAGCAAGTTTCGAATCCGCCGCTTTCAGGCTAACGACCTCTTACTCGGTTAATCATCGATCCTTTTTTTCCTACTTCAGAAAATAAATAAACAAAAAAGTTTTCCTTCTTTTTTTCAGTTTGAGGAAAATAAAAAAGTTTCTTCCTTTTCTGCTGTCATCCGTCAAAAATGTAATCTTTTTTTTTTTTTTCAAAAAATTTGAATTGGGTGTAAGAGTTGAAGAAAGTTTTTTTCTTTTTCTTAATTTCTCCTAAAATGAATGTTTCAGCTATCTTGAATTTTTTAATAAAAGAAACATCAAGTTTATGGTGTGTGTGTGTGTGTATATATATATATATATATATATATAGTTTGTAGTATAGAAAGTGAGGTAACCAAAAAATTGAGAATTGCATGAAGACGACGGACAGAAGCAAGAAGGAAGAAGGTCAGGTTGCCCAGATTGTACCCGCTGGGCTTTCGGCTTGCCTGGGCCAACAGTGAATGATGCATTGGGTTTAAACTAGCTGCCTTAATATTGTTTGGGCTTTAATTATTTGAACTCAAAAAGGCCCAAAAAACACAAAATCTAAAGAAAGAATTCGGTAGACACATATAAAAGCTGATAGGATATTTGTTTAATCCTAACTAAATCAAATGCTCCATTCTTAGATATCTAATCCAACACACACCCAATTGCATGCTCATACAAGAAACCTAGGGAGGCCTACTTTGTGACCTAATTCTTTAACATCAACTTCCACCTGCTTCTTGTACTCTCCGAAGCTAAACTTCCTGTAAACCGATGCCTCACCACTGTCGCTATGCACAACAGTCTCAAATGAAGGGCAGAAGAAATAAGCAGTCGAGAATCTTTCCACAAATGGATTTGCCACCACACGATGTTCCACACTCTTGTACACATCATTGCTCCACGCCTGCATTATATAATTACCTTGTAATGATTTAGATTTCTTATTAAGATTATATATCTTTAAACTCAAATTAATCAAGCTACCTGAAATAAGTCGCCGATGTTGACGATTAGGCCGTCGGGATTAGGCTTAACAGCTATCCATTTTCCATCCTTGACAAGTTGCAGGCCTCCAACTTGATCTTGATGCAAAATTGTGAGGAAATCAGTGTCTGTATGCGGCATCAGTCCAAATACCTGGAGAGACATTGGACAAGGTAGGTAACGGTTCATTCGTAGATAGCATGTGCTTGGCAAGCAATTTTCCTGGAAAAAATTTGACTTGCAACCCAGTTTCTCTGCTAAAATTTCTGCTATTTTCTGAGCCAGATCCGCAACTCTTGTAGCAAATTCCTCCATTGTTAAACTGTATTTGTTTCCAAACAAAAAAAAAAAAAAAAACCCGATTAATCATATGAATCAACTTAATTAATGTTCTTAAGTACTAAGTAATTATCGTCATCATCATGGATTACATAGATACATATAATATGTACGCAGGTATATATACATGTAGAACCAAACCCAGGAACCTAAGAGGGTTACTTTCCTTAGAAAGTTAAAAAGAGATAGAAATCTCCCAGCTGGTGGGGAGGTAGGGTCCAGACCTACGTCCGAACATCACCATCAACCCCATACCCATCAATCATCAGCAGAGAATTATAATTATAATTATAATTTTATAATTATGAAAATAAATGGACCCCCATATATACATACATATATGTAGAGGCCACATCAAAAGCTTTTTCCACTGCAGTAATAGTAAGGCAGGTAAGCTAAGAGGCTGGAGTAGTTATGCCTGATCTTCCAGCTCATTTATTCACGTGAGATAGCTTTTTATACATATATATATAAAATTAATAGCCCACCAGCAGGACTACATGCACATGCATGCAAAGTGTACGTACATCCATCTGATGGTGAAGTTTCAGTAGTACCCAAAAGTCTGTGCTGTCTATCCTGATATGGGAATTGGGCCTTGTGAGCCCTAGCTGCTTCTATGAACAACCAAGATGACACGGGTACATATCCACATGCTGCAGCAGCCATGAAAGCTTAGCTTCTTCCACATACACCACGACACGTTTGCCTATATATACATATACATATACATATGCATACATACATACATCTCCCACTATACTGTCACTGCCACTAGTACTACCTTTCTCTCGTCAGCCAGCTAATAATTCCTCCCAAATTCAAAATTCGTTTCATTGTTTTCCTATTTGATTCACCCGGTCAATAATTTTTTTTTTTTTTTTTTTTTTCTCTTTAACATTTTATTAACAACTTAACAATTAATAAATTGTGATTTAACTAGCTATCTACATTAAGATTTAGCGTTTAAACATGACTTATGCTCTGATTAATTAACAAAATTGAGAGATTAGAATGGTCACCAAAATTTCAAATTAAGACTTAAAAATTCAGTAATTAATAGTGAAATTTACAAAAGTTATTTTCAAATTGAAAAAGACCCCAATTGGAAAAATACATAAAAAGCTTGGTTAGATGTCACCTCCAAGTTAACCACGAGACGAATCTTAACCCAATAATGGGCTAAGCGTGTAAATAATTCTAACTTGATTAAAACCAAAATTTTCCTCTTAAGCACTCAATTCTAACTTCACCTCATAATACTTGTACGTATAATCAACTAATTAAATAGGCTTATAAGTATTGATAAAGTCGGGGTAGGTAATTTGGATCAATCTAGAGTAGACACTACTAAAATAAAGTGCAACTTTAGTCCTCATGCAATTAATTACTAAACTATTATTTTATGTACCTTAATTCTTTGCACATACTACATTTTAATTATAAATAGTAGCTATCAAATGTTTTTTTTTTTAAAAAAAGTTACTTTCCTATGCCCAATAAGTTATTAATCGCACGACCATGATGTTATATATAATTAACTAAGTTTGGTAACAGTTTATATATATATACATATATTGCATGCTAAATTTGAGGTTCACACTTGAATGTTCCTTTAGCATTTTCTTACATCAGTTTTATAAGAAAAAAGTAGTTTCCTTTTTTTTTGCTTTTTTTTGCAGAAGGGTCGTGCTAAGATATTTATGAATCACAAAAGTAATTATCCGGCTCAAAACTACTTCAAATGCCGACATGGTGTCGTAAACAAGAATTATAATGAATGGCATGTACATATATATATATGCGTGCGTGCGTGCGTGGGTGAGTGAAATGGCCACGACGTGCAATCTTAATTGTGTGTGCAACATACATGGATATAAATTATATAAACCAGGCAATTGCGGAATTGAAGCGAGATGAAAGGAAGATAGATAGAACAGTAAATAATGTTTTTGAAAAAAGTGAAAAGAAAAGATAATACGGGTACCTGAGAGCAGTGTCGAGGGTTGGAGAATCAGAGATATCCAACATGGGAATGTGAAAAGCCTCCGACCAAGACAAATCGCAGAGACTGGTGGCAGTGGGTGTTCCCCAGCGATAAGCGCCGGCTGAGAAATTCAAGTAACTCCTAGACTCTTTACCTTTCTTCTTCTCGAAAGGCTGCTTAAACACCTTCACCTGTTCGCGCGTCATCTTCTCCAGAATCTCCTTGGAAATCCCATGGTTTATTACCTGGAAAAATCCCCATTCCCTCGACGCTCGGGCTATCTCCTCCTTGCACTCCTCCCCCTCTCCGTTCCACAGCTTCCCCAGATCGATCACCGGCAGCTGCTCCTCTTCCACCACCATGGCCGCCTTGATGCACTTTGTCGGACCTTCTTTCTCGAACAGGAACTTGTACGTCTCGTGAAATGGCGGCACGTCTTCTCCGTTCATGCTTCCAGAGCTGCCAGGAGCCACAGAGCAAAGTGTTTTTGTGATGTGATGTTCGCACAAAGTTTAATAAAATTTATAAAGTGAGACCAGAAAGTGTAACTCCACCCTCTATTTATAATATAATTTATTGAAAATTACCAACTCGGTCCTTCAATTACAGACTATATAATAATTTACTTGAGAAATATATTTTTATTGCAATTTAATCCTTAATCTTTTTTTTTTTTTTTTTGGTTTTTATTCAGAGTATATACTCTACAGCCTTAAAAAATCTTCAATACCCTGTGTTGACTCTCTATGTATATACTTTACAATTGATTACAATCTTAAAAAATCCTCAATAATCTGTGTTGACTCTCTATCTAAATCTTTATAATTTTATAAAAATCCCATCAATCAAAAAAAAAAAAAAATCATAAATTTAAGAAGCAAATTATAATAAAAAGAATTTGAAAACTTATTATAAATTACATAAAAATTATGTCTATTAATATTTAGTCAAAAAATATAAAATAATTAAAAAATTAGCTTAGTGGTATATATATATATATATATATAAATAAAACCCAATAAGTAAAACCTAAATATAGTTATAGAAATCAATCTCCAACCAAGAAATTTTGTTGTAATTTACACCGTGTGGGGCCTGCTAATAATTTTCTATTGTCGGCCTAATATTCTTTTTCTAATAAATAATTAATTTGTTCAACTTATTAATATATTTCCTTTTAATTTCTACATGGTTCAAATTTTATTAATAAATAAGTAACATGTAAATTTATTAATACGGCAATACATACATACATATATATATATATATAGACGACGACGACGACAATAGAAATAATAAAGTGTTTTGCCCATAATTTGAGTTTTCCCTGTTAGAATACAACGGAGGTTTCATTGATCAGAGATTGTAATTTAAAACAGTGACCACTTTTGACATGCTACCATACCATGCTAAATCATGTTACCTATACTCATTTCACCACATATACATATACACATATACATACATATATGTATAAATATTAATTCCTACACCAACGCCAACACCAATACTATATAATACATGTGATTCACTTTCTTGTATATGGGCCATACTTGAGTCGGTATTATTCCAGATATGTGATGTATGGATTGAAATACAGACATGTAAACACATGCACGTACATATATATTTTTTTAATTTTATTTTTAAATTATCAAAAATTAACCTATATACACGTCGACAAATTCTCTATATCATATATATATGTATATAATTAAATAAGATTACCATCAAGGCAAAACGAAAAACAAAATATATATCATACATGTCTCTAGATATATATATATATATATATATATATATATTCTTTATTAATAATATATGAGTGTTTGTATGTATATATGTTATAATCTTATAGACATACATCTTTACGATCAAGATATATAGATATGTGTCTTATTCAACAATCAGAGAAATTTTATTTTGATTTTCGTTATATACAATGAATTCTTATATTACTTCATTTTATATAATTATTTAAAAATATTATACCGTATAACACACCTATATTGGAGCCAAGGGAGAGGGGTACCCATGCCCCACATGGCCCTTGGCTCCCCTATATGCATGCATGTGACATAATATTTTTACATATCAATCATATTACAGTATACATACATCTATATAGAACAAAAATCAATACATGTTAAATTTTTACCGAAAACTAAAATATTTAAAATTAATTTTATTGTGAAGAAAAATAAAGACTTTAATACACATTTAAGTATAATGTTTATATACCAAAATATCTATTTCAGATCATATAATATGCATGTATAAAAAATAAAAAATAAAAAATAAAAAAATTAATAGCTCTAACATCAACTTTTATTCCCGTCCAGTCTAAAAAAGTTATAACATTTATTTAATAATTAATATTTAAAATTTAGGTCGGCAAATCCCAATCCTCTATTCTGAACTAATATCATATATAGTATCATGGTTCCACCACCATATATGTATACACACACACATATATATATATATATATATATGTATATATGTATATGTGTATATGTAGGTTCGCTTTCATTGTAAAGTGTTAATGGTGAGGATAAGGGTAGATAGACTTGGACGAATAAGAGCCAAATGAAAGTGGTGCGTGCATCGTGAATGAAATTCATTGTCTCCCGTTACATCTTTTCTTCAAGAAATAAAATGAAAAAACATAATCACAAAATTATTAGTTTAATTGCGCCCCATTAATTAATTAATAATATATAGTTAACGTTAACATTAGTATTAATTATTTACTAATTACTTTTTTAAAAAAATATTATCGTGATGATTGTCATTTTATTGTTTATTATATATTTAGAATAAGATATTGATTTGCGAACTAGTCACTAGCTTGTATATGAAACTTTGAACATGTGTCGAAAAGAGTAGAAGATCAAATTCTGTTTTTGATTCTATTTTGCACTTGATTAAAGATTAAATTTCAAAATTCTTGTTATTTCGGTCTCAAGCATTCATAGTTGTGCTACATAAACCAAAAAAAAATTAAAAAACTCGATTATTTTGAGAAGTCGAACAATTTTACGTCCAAAAAAACTAATGTTGCGACAGTGAGCAAAAAGAACATCATATTGAGATGTGCGTGTAAGAGATTGAGATAAGTGTGGGCGTAGAAATTAAAACAAATGTAGACATGAGGAGGCATAACCTTGAGTAGTAGGATAAGACTATGTGGGTAATGTAGTAAAGTTTAACTACATCGTGTTGAGATATGGTGGCATTTTCAATTACACAGAGAGAGATTAAAAAATGAATTAAAATTTCATACGTTTAACTATGAAGAGATACTCGAAGAAAAATTAAGATAATAAAACCCATAACTAGAAGTGAATCATCAAGAAAGACGTGTCAGTTAAAAGATATGTCAAGTGCAATATAGTTAGTTTCTATACAATACTGGATAAACGAATAGATTGCCTAAGTAATGGTAAAAGAACAGGAAGATATGACAACTGAAAGAGATCACACGTGATGGTAGATAAGGGAGAGTATAGTAACGATCAAAATTAAATGAACAGTTTATTTTATTATGATACCGGTTGACAAAAGAAATGATTAGAAAGACCCAAAAAAAATATATTGTATTGTTTATTACATAATTTATACAGAAAACTATAAATCATAAACCGATGATAGTTAATAAGTAAATAATAATTACGAGTAAGCGGTAAATACAAAAATATTTATGGTATATTCCTAATCAACTTCAGCTCTTTAAATAATTACTCTCAATTTTTTACAATTACTTAAATTGTTTTAGCATAAAATATATTATTCACTTGTGCTTAATCCATATTTTAATCAATTATACTAGACTATTTTTTTTTTTTTGAATTATTATTTTTTTAGTT